CACATGAAGTGTCAAGTTCAGTTGGCAGCCATACATGCCCAATAAATAACACTGCCTCTACCATGCTTGAGAGATTATGTGGTAGGTTTTAGATCATGAGCCCTTCCTTTCATTCTCCATACTCTTCCCATTATTCTGGTTCATGTTACTCTTGGTTTCATCTGTCCAAAAAAACTTGTTAGAGAACTGGGCAGTATTTTTTAGACGTTTTCTGTCAAAGTCTTACCTGGTCTTTCTGTTCTTGGGGCTTACCAGTGGTTTAACTGGTTTAAGCCACAGTTTACTTGGAAATAAAACCTCATATCACATCATCATTAAGATGATTTTGTTAAATACAAACCAGTATCATTTATAAAGAGTCTAATGAGGGAAAACATTACTGGACCCAAATATACAAGAAGATGAAGAAAGAGCTTTATACACATTACAAAAAATTGTTATCTGTAAAATTACAAAACTTCAAAATTACCTGTTGTGGGAACAGGAGTATCAGTTGTAGGTTCAGTATTAGGTCCTGTGGAGGAAGGAGCATCTGGTAATTCAGGAGAAGCTGAAAATAGAAATATGAGTAGTTCAAATAGACCAGTTTAGAGGAAATATACAGGGTGAACTAATCAAAAGTGGAACACATTTTGGTAGATGCACCAGTTGATCCTGACAAAAGCTACTTGTTCATGTGTTTGCATGTGCATCCTAAATATGAATGTGTTTAGACTGAATTTCCTTCCCTCAGCCTTACGTCCTTATGTATCTTACAGTAGCTTTGTTGTGTTCAGCTTAGCAAGACCTAGCTTTCCCAGCATTTTCACTGCTTACTAGGCCTTGTGTCTGCTATGTTTATCTGTGTTCTGTTATTAGTTTGGGGTCATTAAAACCTCTGCATTCATTGTCCATCCCTTTTTTAGACTGAATTTCACATAGTTTTTATTTGGACGCACCAACATAGTTAAACAGGACAGAGCTGGAAAATTACATCAAACAAATTGACTCATTTACTGTAGCCTATTGTAACAAATTCTTAAAGAGCAACAGAAACACATTTGGCTGAACTGATAACAATAATGAACATGGATGAGCTAAATGTGTTTAAAAACAAAAATTTTGAAGTGAAAAAAGCAGACAGATGGGCAACAGACTGAAGATGAGTCATTTTTACTCTCAGTAATTTTATACTCCATTCTATTCTTTCTCCACTGATTGAGCTTCAACTTTTTCTTTCCTTTAACCTCACATTTCTCACTGTTTTTTCCTGACTGTTCTGATTTACATGCCACTTTGATGAAAGTGACAAAATGTTAGAACTGTGCTGAATCAGGTCCACATGCAACATGATTCAACACAATAACATTGATATAAAGCCTGTAAACCTTAAAACAATGATCTACACAGTGTCAGTGCCTGAAAGCTTCTCTACACCAGGGGTTCTCAAACAGATCAGCATTGAGGTGCAAAATATTATCACTAGAAGGCAAACTGTTTTCTTATCTCGTCTTAATATAAGATTATGAATTTTGGAACTGTTTTTCTGTAATAGCTTAAGTCCCATTTTCCATTTTAACTTGTTAGGAGAGATAAAATTTCAATTAGGATTTTTTTTTTATACACCACCTTTGGAACAAGAGTCAGACCAATCCATTCTGGTCTTCTATAAACACTGCTCCACCCTACTGCTTCTGATCATGGCCTACTCAAGGTTCTAGACCAGCCTCTCTTTGCTCTTTATTCTACCCAGTGTAGGTTTTAGTCCTCCCAGCCTGAAATCTGTGTTCTGCCAAGTCTAGATTCTAGTCCTGCCAAGCCTTGCTTAGTTCTTGTCTAATCTTCTATACACGCTTCTTAATTTCATTAGCCTAGCCTTTAGTCTTGCTGTTAGCTAAATAATTAGCATTTTCCTTAGCCCTATGTCCTTATTTTTGTCTTGCAGTGATAGCATTGTTGTGTTCAGCTTAGCAAGACCTAGCTTTCCCAGTGTTTCCACTGCTTACTAGGCCTTGTGTGTGTTGTGTTTATCTGTGTTCTGTTATTAGTTTGGGGTCATTAAAACCTCTGCACTCATTGTCCATCCCTTTTTCTGTCTGGATAATTATACTATAGTACAGCAGTTTTGAACATGAGAAAGTTTAGCACATTTTAGAATGAGGCAAAGTAGCATCACTAACCTGAGAACACCCACTGTGCTCGAAAGCCGAACCGAGTTACACTGCTGTCACTTAAGAACTCTACAGTCAGAGAGTTCCTGGTGGAGTTGAAGTGATATCTCTGATCTTGAGCCAGGCGACCCAGCAGTGGGTAAGTAATATTGGGACCATCATACACCCTGATGGAATCGCAACATGCTTCCAAACTAGTTCCCAGGAGAAAGACAGGGAATTGAGAAAGTTTACAAAACTCTATTCCAGCTCAGGGCAGCGTAATGGCTTCATATCACAACTGACTCAGTTAACAATGCAAAGCAATTTCACTACTGATTTAGAGTGATACAGAAAATACTGTCTAATACCACATATTCTGACAGTTTGAACGAATAAAATCATATAAAATGGCCAAATCCATCTGTATGTAAAAGTGAAGGAAAGCTGTGACTCACTCAACAAACTTGAACGTCAAATTAACAACTTGTCTCTCTGATGCCAGAAGTCTCCATGTGCAATATGCATTATGAGGGTAGTAATTAGGAAACTGGGGGCTGAAGAATTCTCCTCTTGGGTTAGTCAGATCTCCACCACATGGTGCTTCAATTGTAAAGTGGAAAGTGCATTTACCTTCGCATAAATGAGTCTTAATGCATCAAATGCACAGCAAAACACATTGTGTACTGTCCTCTCTCCACTGATTGAGTTTCAACTCTCTCCTTCCTTTATGTTGACTTTTCTCTCTGACTTTTCCTTGACTGTTCTAGTTTAGGCACCACTTTGTTAGAAGTGACAAAATGTTACAACTGTGTTTAATCAGATGTACATATTCTAGGTTCACATCCTGCCAGCCTTAGCTCTTTCTCTACATCATGCCTAGTCTAAGTTCTAGTCCTGCCAGCTTGAGCTCTTTCTCTTTATCCTAGTCTATGTTCTAGTCCTGCAAGCTTTAGCTTTATATCCCACCTAGTCTAGATTGTAGGCGTGCCATCCTCAACAATCCAGACTGAGCTCTTTATTGTGCCTAGACTATGTTCTAGTCCTGCTTAGCCT